GGGGGAGGTTGGGGTTCCCTCCTCTGCCCGGGGCGGGTCCCGAGCGCGGTGTCCGGCCGGGCCTGGGGCTGCCTCTGCCTGGCCCGGGGCTCTGGGTGGGGCAGGGGTCCCCACACGCGGCTCTGGGCACCCCTCGTTAGGGGAGCGCTGCCCGGAGGGCGCAGCTCCTCTTGGTTTTGCTGCTTACAAAAAAGGAAATGCTAATCTCGGGAGGCTTTGAGATTTACTGCTAAAGAGGATCATAGTGAGGGGAGGCCACCCTGCTCACACCTGTCCCTGCTCGAGGGCACCTTCTCAAGTTGCTCATGTCCAAGGAGACACAGGGCTCAGCCCCTCACAGGGCTCTCTTTGTGCTGCATCCAGGTAAAAGTGCTGCAAAAAGGTAAAAGAGCTAAAAAGTTCAGCCCTGCAGAACTTCGCACAGAACCGCAACTTCCCAACAGCGACGCAGTGAAGGGAACTTCATTCCCAGGTGTTGTCGCTCTACAGGCAGCTCGGGCGAATTAGGACGGGCATGTGAGGAGGTGGATCTGGGGCTGACAGCACAATCCTCTGCTTCCTTCCCTGCAGGACCTGTTTGCACTGGGCCTCCAAGCGGAACCATGCTCAGGTGGTCTCCTGCCTGCTGGATGCTGGTGCAGATAAGCAGATCCTCACCTCCAAAGGGGAGCTGGCTGCAGAGCTAACTTCAAAACCAGACATCCGGAAGATCTTGGGAGGTACTGTTCCCGTTTAAAAGTCATCTAGGATTCTTGGTCTGAGGACTAAAGCGTTGTTAGTGCTTTTATCTGAGGCAGTAGGTTGGCAAACTTTGGGTAGGGTTACTGAATCTCATTAGATAGCTGTGATTTATAACAACTGGGGTTCATACTCGAGCAAACAGACTTGGGGATCTCAGGTAGGAAGGCCTTTAGTTCTGTGCTGTGTCATCAGGAGATTGAAGAAGGTGTATGCTTTAGGGAACATGCTGCTGAAGTCCTGTTTGCCTTGACTAGACAGGAGCTAGGATGCAGGCTGCAAATGGAGGATTTCCCAGTTGGACAGTTGGATTGTTGTCTGACCGTGAGAAATCTTACAAATCCACTCAGCTGCAGCATTTCAGAAATTACAGCTTCTGAGCATTTTGTTTTTACTTTGACTTGCTCTTTGATGAACTTTTGCCTCATAGTTCTGTCATCTTGCAGTTTTAACGTGCACAACAAACCTAGTTAGATGTGTGTGACATTTCTGAACTGCCAGTGCATGTTTACACCCAGGTACTGCGCTTCAGGTTCAAAGTTTTAAGTACTTCACCTTGGGAAATGTTGATGTTCTATCTTCTGCTAATTACACTTAAATTGCTCTCTACAATGATACAGTTTTACATCAACAGTGCACAGTTGCCTTGAAGCTGCAGCTAAATCATGGCTAAGGTTACAAGTGTCACAACTGAGGAACTGCATGTTCTTTGCATGAATATTCTTTGCTGGTTTTTTGGGGCAAGGTGCTCATCTCTTGGCCTTCATGTCAGATGACTTGCATTCCTTTTTTAACGTCTAAACTGTCAAGTATGTGTTAATGAACTCTGTTCATAGTTGCATTATTTTCCTGTGTGTTAAGCTTTCATGTGTTTCCTGGGGAGTAAACACCTATCACTTATATTCTCCTAAATGGTTTTTATTCTGGGAGTGTAGTGCTATTGAGCAGACCTTTCTGAACTCCACTGACATTAGTATTAATGTCCTGTCATCCTCAGTCAGGCAAGAATGTCAGTTACTGTAGTATTTTAAAGCAAGAGAAGAGTTGGTCAGTCAGGCAAGAATGTCAGTTACTGTAGTACTTTAAAACAAGAGAAGAGTTGGCTTGGGTATTATATTGGATGGTGACTTGCCCAAAGAAATATTTGGTTAAATTTGCTGGCATGGGTCATCACTGGTCAGTCAGTTTCTTGGAAAACACTGGAATAACCTGCTAGAAATGACATTATGTTTTTCTCACTTTGCTTTTAAAAAACACAATACATTGCATACATTTGTGGATTTTTCATGGATTTTACAGCTACTTGCCTTCCAGATGTCACGTTATGAATCATTAGTGTCACCTCTGATTACATCAGAATGTGATGCAGTTTTAAGACACAATAGGAAGACTAACTATATTCAGAATGAGAAAGATCTCTCCAATAACATGTTTTTTCTCTCCCTATTTTTGCACTTCAGTAGTAGAGGATGAAACTGAAATTCAAGGAGTGAAGGCTTTAAATTTGCCAATTGTTGCAAACTACTTGGCCAACCCACCATTCCCTTACGTTACCACCCAAGAAAGCATTCCAGAGAGCTTGGCAGAAACCCAGAATGAAAGTGCTTCCATCTCTTCTGCTTCCCAGTGTGAAACTAGCCCTTGCTCATCAGCAGCTCAGGTTGAAAGCATATGCACACCTACATCCTGCAACAGCGAGGATGATGTTCCTGCCCTAGACACTGCAGAACAGCTGCTGGTCCCAGCAGGAACGAGCCCGGCACCAAAATGCACCGAGCCTGAAGCACAGAACGGCCCCGAGTGCCAGCCCTGCTGGCCTGGCAGCCAAGGGAAGGAGCTGGCATCTCAACAGCCTGTACCACTGCACTCTGACAACTCCCCCCCTGGTCCTGCACCAGCCTTTCAGCCCTTTTTCTTTACTGGAACGTTCCCATGTAACATGCAAGGTAATGATGTGTAACTTCCCATCCTTCTCTGATGTTCTGTTCCGTGTTTTCTTTACTGGGTGGAAGATAAAGAATCATTCCACGTTCAGACATGGAATAGAGGCAGAGATGTTGGATTGGCCAAAAGCACCCAGAACATATTTCTCCTCTGCTAAGTAAAATAACTGTTATACTGAATTTTAAAAACATTAATACTTCGATGGAAAGATTTGTCCAAGCAAGATAAACTTTCATATTTTGAATTGTGTTATATAGTATCAAATCTATCTCCGGTAGTTTGGTAACAAGTTTGTAACTGGATGGATCAGATTTTTAACAGGTAAGATTCCCCCAGTATTTCTGTTCAAATGAAAGCTTCCATTAACTGCATGGGATTTCTGGATGAAGCAACAGGCATTGTGTTGTAAAACATTTATTTGAAGGATAATGGTGACTATTGTAGTGTTAGGTATGAGTTGGGGTTTTTTTTGAGGAAAAAACAAACAAATAACTTTTAGTATTTTTTTCCCAATCAGAACTTGTGCTGAAGGTGAGAGTCCAGAACCTGAGAGACAATGACTTCATTGAAATTGAACTGGACAGACAAGAACTGACCTACCAAGATCTGCTCCGAGTGAGTTGCTGTGAATTGGGTGTTAATCCAGAACAAGTAGAGAAGATCAGAAAATTGCCTAATACACTAGTAAGAAAGGTAAGAATTGAAATCTGAGATGAATTTGACTTTGCAGACACCAGAGAAGGTATTTTTTTAAAAAAGATCAGCAAAAGGTGGATGTGGCCTTGCGAAAGCAAAAACTGACTAAAACTCATCAATTCATAAGGATATTGGACTTTTAACTTCCATCACAACTCTTGTCAAACTAAGCAGAGTATTTCAGCTCCTAAAACACATGAAACTATTAAGGCTTGACTGTTTTTTAAAAAGAATGTATCAGAACAGTGCATTAGTTGTGCTTTTAACATAATTGCCATGTATTGCTTCACTATTTGCTTGCCTAAAAAGAATAGCAAGGAGAGAAAAACCCACAAATTGCCGTGTGAATAATTTAAAGACACACCATTAACGAATGTTCATTAGCAAATGAACATGCTCTTCTGGTTCAAAAATACCTATTCTGGAGGTCTGTAACTAAAATGCGTTTGGTCACAACTCTGAGTTAAGTGACATGCACCAATGCAGGCAAATCTAAATGAGGTTCAAGGAGAGAAAAAAAACCAAACATGCTTTGAAAGAGAGTGTCTTCTGATGGCATTTTCTTCTTTAATTATTTATTCCTGCTGTTGGGTGTGACTTCCCTGGAATTTTAATTTTTACTTTATTTAGCTATTCTTATGTTTACAAAGGAAGACCAGGTATGTTTAGAAGTAACACGTAGCTCTGTTCTTTAAAAGGACAAGGATGTTGCCAGACTTCAGGACTTCCAAGAGCTGGAGTTAGTTCTTGTGAAAAGTGACAGCTCTCCTTTCAGAAATGCTGCATCAACTTTGACAGAGAGATCATGCTACAACAGTAGAGCATCAAAGCTGACCTACTGACTCTTCTGGATGCATCTAGAGTATGAAGATCTGGTAATTCTATGCTGCCACCTTTTGAAGGCAGTGAATTAAGCATATGTAAAACCTTAAGTTATTGTTAGGGTTACTATTTTAACTAATAGTTTATATTTTATATTTAATACCCCCTTTGCTTTTATTTTTTTACTTGATACTGTATTCAGATAAGGGATACCTCATTTGTCTACTAAAATCATATGCTTCCAGTGTATCTCAATGAAGTTTGTTGGTTGTATTTGGCAACAAAGGGCAGGAAAGACTTAATTATTGCTATGAAAAGCATGTTGATTACTCCCACTCTATGACCAAGTAAGAGTAATGGAAAAGAGATTCAGGAAATTGTATGTGTATGTGTGTGTGTGTGTAAAAATATATATATTTTAAACTTCCTGATTAAGTTGAACATCAGGGGGTATTTGGCATACAATCAACAGTTGCTCTTTACCAAGATGCAGTGTAGTGCCTGCTGGGGACAGAAATCTTGAATGCTGTGCAGTGGCAGGCAAAAAACTGTCACTGGGCTGAAAATAAGTGGAGTAAGTGTCCACATTTAAATGTTTGTTTCCTTCCAGTATGAGAATATAGGAACTTCAGTGATGGCCTCTCTCCACCTCCACAAAAAATATGGAAGCCTTTTAATTCAGCATGGGTCACAAAGCAAAAGAAAGCCTGTATGTTTCAGGAGCTCAGGAGGGAGACCAAAGTTGCGTCCATGGTTTCATTTATTTATTTAGTGTATGGTGTAAAAAGCTTCAGCCAGATAAGCACTGATGAAAGAAAGGGCTAAATGCCTCCAGGTGCTGTCAATTGATTTTTATTTTAGGGGTGTGGGGGTAAACCAACCCATGAGGCTGGTTAAGCTACAGACTGCTTAAATTGCATTTAAGCAAAGCAGTAGAGAAAACATCAATTTGTGGTTTATGTATGGCAAAAGTAATCATTGGAACACAGCATGAAGTTGCTCCCTTTCAGTACAAAGCTATCTGAGTTGCAGTGTAAGAGCCTGAAGCTTTTCCTGTTAACATGGTCATCTGCAGTTACACCTTAGGAGGTTTTCTGGTTTCTTTTGGACCAAAAAACTGCAATGATGACCTTTGCACCAAAAACCTTAACTTGAGTACTGGGGTAGGTGAAGGGTTTTTTCCCTGGCATCGAGATGCTTCCCCCCACCCCCACCGCCCTTGTACTATTGATTTTTCCTTCCATCTCTTGCTTGATTAAGCTGCACTAGAGCAGAGCTTATGCACAGCTGACGCAGTGTTTGTTGTTGTTGACATTCAGACCATAAATAGCACAATCAACATGTTTTGGTAGGAGCAGCATGGCTACCCCCCTGCCCGTCTTTGTCTCCTGCAGCACAGCTGCACTTCACTCTTAAGGCTGGTGAGGAACTGGAACGGGTGTCCCAGGGAGGCTGTTGATCCCCATCCCTGAAGGTTTTTAAGGCCAGGTTGGACAACCTGATCTAGTGGTAGGGTTCCCTGCTCATGGCAGGGGGGTTGGAACTAGATGATCTCTAAGGTCTCTTCTAACCTTAATGATTCTATATAAATTATCCCTGAAGTGCTGGCTCCTCCAGGCAAGGTTAGCAAAAGCTTGCAGGTCAGAAGGATACAGAAGCCCCTTCTGCCAGAAGGGTGACTCTGGGTTCAGGATTTCACCCAGTTACTCTAGGCTTAAAATGCTCAGCGCATTCAAAATAATGATGGTCCTTTCCTCCTTGCTGCACATACATCTTAGCTCTTCAACTCTTCTAACTCCCCCCTTCTCAGTCCTGGCCCTTCCCTCTCCAGGAGCTGGGCTACTTTGAAGCCCAATTCAACTCCTGGCAAGCTCAAGCCTGTGACACAGTATGAAGTAAAATTTCCTAACTATGGCTCCTGCTTTGTATTGTAGGACAGGAAAGGACTTTAATTTTAACAATTGTTCCTTTATCTTTTCAGCACAACTTGGAGACTAGTTCAGATTATGTGCAATAACTGTTCAAAAACAGTAGTAGTTAAATGGCTCAAAATTAAAGAGTATCTAATTTCTCTTCAGTTCCTTTATTCAGGAAATCTGTTAAGAGCCTCCACTAATCACTAAACATTCAGCTAGAGGAGCAGCTGGTTTAAATAAGCTTTATTTGCTAGAGTTTCCACAAAGAATAACTGTTAATGTGGTTAAGACTAAAACTTTAATCATGATCTGACTATAACAGTAAGTCTATGCATTCAGAGAAATATTTTTGTATGTTTTATGCAGTTTGATAAACTCTAAGGCACACTACTTACATTAACTGTTTTTTGTTTGGTTGGGTTTTTTCTTTGAACAATAAATTATTGGTATGACAACTGAAACTAAGTTTACAAAACTTACTGTTCTTCCAAGGACAACTTTTGTTTGCACTACAAACTTGTATTGAATTGACATTGCTGCTCTTCACTGATATTAAAGTACCAGTTGTTTCAAGTACCTAGATCTCTTCCTTTTTTAGAGGGTGGAGGGTATGACGAGGCAATCTAGAGCAGGCAGGATGGTCTTAACATTTTAATACAACCATATCCAGTACATTTTTAACACCTAATACAAGATGTCAAAACCAGCATGTAGGAGGTGCTTACTTAAATAAGCTTAGCATTCCTAGAAATCTAAGGTGGTATTTATCCTGAGCTCAAGCTCTGAAGATGACACTTCTCACACAGATTAATCTATTGTGGAGATGCTCATTACAGTCAAATCTCAAGGCAGGCACTGGAAAGGTACTGAATTAATAGATGGAAGTTTTCCTTTATCTTCAATGCACTAGATAAAGAGTACACTGTCAGACATCTCAGAACCTGAATTCCAGTCCCATGTACTTGCAAGGTACCTGATTTTATCATTTATACCTCTGCAAAATCAGGAATGGAAAAATGCTAGTCCTATACAAACACGTACCATGGAAGGTCAACACCAACCTTTCAGCCACTGGAAGAATTAACACATCCAGGCACTACCTGAATCATGTCTCTTATGCACATTTCAAAATAGGTGTTTATGCAATGTCCATAATTAGAACTTACTTATAATTTTGCTTCCTCCTACTGGCATTAATTTTTCTTGGTTTTAAAAAAAACCACCACACCATCTCAATCATCTGTGCCCCTGTATGGGTGTCTGCTTTAGAAAGATACAAATCAAAAAAGGGAACATGGCTGTCCTGTCTGCATGGGGTATTGCTCCTTAACAAAAGCCAGCACTCTGTTTCACAGAAGGACCAACATGAGTGCCCTTCCACAGTCTGAAGATAAAAGGCACACCAAACTGAGAAGCAGCAAGTTACAATAGCGCCTTGTCTATGTGTGACTTCAGTGAACATGTGTGGTCAAGTCCTGAATACTAATATGAAGAATAATGCTTTTATTTTTTAAAAATGTCAATTCAATGCCTTACAGACATAGCACTGATTTCACTCTCTGCTGCAGACTAGTACACTTTGCAGTTCTCTTCCAACAGGAACTATAATGCCTGCACTGCAGCTTCACACAAAAGCATAAGGCACATCTCATTCCCCTTGTAACATGCAGACTTGTGCATGTCTACCAACTGCACACAGCAGTTAACTAATATTCCAAACTGATACTACAATGTAAGGAGTCTGATGGCTCATCTCAGCAGTAGCATCTTTCTGATAACGCTGTGAAAGTCCAACTGCTTTATAAAGACCCAACATCTACATTTTTATTGCAAGATTTCTATGCCTTCTTAACCAAGCGCAGCATAAGCTGTACTTTCTAGGGGACACAAATCCAACCACCACGTAGAAGTAAGCTTGAAATGAAGTACTGAGGGCACAAAAAACCTCAAACCCACAAACACCACAGAATAACTAAGCATCCAAATTAGTGGACTAAGCTTGAAGACATAAGTAGGTTTATTAGGAAAGAAACTTATTTAATATTAAACGTTCAATGACAGAGACAATCAAATTTGTAACAGAAATTCAAAGATACTTTATTTCCATTTCTTGTATATCAAGAAGCTAGGAATAGCTTAGTTGTAAAAATGGGATTCGTTTTAGTTCGATTCACACAAATACTAAACATTTATTCTTGTGTTTTAAAGTCCAAGAATGAAAACTTGCAATTAAACACTGAGCAAGCCATGTGTTCAGGTTACGTTGGTTTCTTATCTTAAAAAGTCTTAAAGAAAAAAAAAGGATACAGGACTTATATTCTCAATAGCATATATGCTATTATCAACACATCTTTCTGAACTCTGGGAGGAAACACCAGTCCTGACTTAAATTTTATTAAAAAAAAATATTTCTAATTCAACTTTATATTTTCTATGCCACTACAGCTTTCTTTCACCTCATTTTAAAGCAGATCTTCAGTTTAAGCTGTCTTCCCCTGTCTTCGCAGAGTCTTCACGTTGTAGTCCTATAATGCAAAATTTTGGGAAAACAGACAATTAGACAGCATTAGGAGCATTTATTTTACCATTTATATATATTGGCCCAGTTGTTAGCTGTCATCTTAACTATAAAAATGTCAACATTGAACATAACTGGCTTTAGAAGCAATAGTATAGCATTAATTGTTTAATAATCAAGTTTAATAATCAACATTAAGAGTTCCTAGCATAAATAATGAAACTACATTAGCAATTTATGTTTCAAGAAGCTCATTTATCAGCTGTACTCTCCATTGTTATTCCTTATTTCAGGAATACAACTAAAGACCTTCTGTAAGAAAGCTATGTCAAGAGTGAGGAAAAAACTTCAAGTTTTCCTTTTAATACAGTATTTGTATTTCCTATTGTTTGGCTGTTTCATTTCCAAGAGACAGTTTTTCAGCACACATTCTTGCCATGAACATTGTAATCATCTGGTGGCATCTGCCTTTGCATTTACATTTGCCTTAGAAGCTTGTTATCAGCCACTCCTCTGTATTATGGCTGACTGCAAACTCTCCTACACAGTAGGAAATATTAAACACATACCTCTTAAAGACTTGAAT